ATCTTTCTTCTATCATTGACAGTCCCTCTAGGTTGTGGGCTGCTTGCCTGTGTTCCTGAGAAGCATCTACGGTACCAGTCTATAGAGTGTGTTTTCTTTAGTGAATTACCGGTATGTTTACCGGTAATAAACTTGCACTGTTTTATGTATATGTTTGATTACATACAGCCTTGTGACAGTTTTCCTGCATGTCATAAGCATTTGAATATAAATTAAAATGTTAAAATCAAATCTGATATTGTTTTACCTTTTATTTCGTGTGTGGAAGGTGTGCGGAAGAGGGGGTAGTCTTATACGGTGAGTATATAACAAACTGTATTTTGAGTGGAAATGTTAGGGGGTCGTCTTATACGCCCAGTCGTCTTATACGCCGGCAAATACGGTATATTGGACTAGTAGCCTGGTGCACAAAATTTGTGTGTGTGTGTGGGGGGGGGTGTCCCTCAGCCCAGCCTGCACCCTCTCCAATCTGGAACCCTTTGGGTGATGTCCAACTGCCGGTTTAGGCCCAATCATTAAACTGGCAGTTGGACATTCCTCTCGCAATCTGGGACCACTGGCTCCTAACTGCTTACCTGCTTGCCGGCCTGCTCGCCCCCAACTGCCCCCCTGCCAGCCTGCTCACCCCCAACTGCCCTCCCCTCCTGGCCTGATCGCCCCTAACCACCTCTGCCTCAGCCCTGCCACCATGACTTTGTCCAGAAGGACATCCAGAATGTCTCCCAGAAGGTCTCCAGGGCTAATTAGCATATTACCCTTTTATTAGTATAGAAGATATTCCATTGAGTGGATATACCACACATTGTTTATCCATTCATCAATTGATGAACATTTGAGTTATTTCTATGATTGGCTATTATGTACAACCAGAGGCCTGGTGCACAGGGTAGGGTCCCTTGGCCTGGCCTGCATCCTCTCACAATCTGGGACCCCCTCAGGGAATGTTCGAATAGCTGGTTTCAGCCCAATCCCCACAGGCCTGATCCAAACAGGAGGGGCCTGATCCCTGCAGGCCCAATCTCCACAGGCCCCATCCCTGCAGGCCCAATCCAGACAGGAGAGAGCCCAATCCTGTGCATTGAGCATCTGTCCCCTGGTGGTCAGTGCGCTTCATAGCGATCAGTCAACCGGTCATTCGGTCACTTAGGCTTTTACATATATAGATGCTGCTGTGAAAATTTGTTTACAAATTTTTATGCAGACATACATTTTCATTTCTCTTGAATATATATATATATATATATATGTATATATGAGTAAAACTGCTGAGTCATATTGTAACTCCATGTTTAATCTTTAAGGAAATTCCAGGCTATTTTTCAAAGTGGTTGCATCATTTTACCTTTCCACCAGCACTGTACAAGGGTTCCAATTTCCCCATATCCTTGCCAACACTTATTATTATGTGTTTTTGTGTTTTTTTATTATCGCCATCCTGGCAATGTGAAGTGGTATCCAAATGCATTTTTTAGATGTAAAAACATGAAAATACATTAGGTGAGGAAGACAGCATTTTAGACAAGGGGAAGCATGAAGAGATGAGGAAAGAAGCCCTCGGTCAGGCTGGGAAAGGAAGCAAGAAATGATCTTAAGTCTGTTACTTGATTGCATGTCCTCAGGCAACCACCTGCTCTATCCAAAGGATCAGGAGTGTGGACAGTCCTCATTTCACCTATGGAGCTTATAATAATCATAACAACTAATCAATGTATTGATTTATTTCGCTAAGTTCCTTTCCATGTTATATTCCATTGGATCCAATATCACAAACCTTATATGGGAGGATATCATTATTCCCATTCTTCAGGTAAGAGCACTAAGACTCAGAATGCCTAATTGACTTGTCCCCCAGAAAGGCAGGTAAAAATAATATGTACATACATACATACATAAATATTAAATAAATAAAACTCACAGGCTAGACCTGGAAGCCAACTTTTTATTGACTTCAGAGAGAAAGAGAAACATTGATGTGAAAAACGTTGATCAGTTGCCTCCCACATGTGCCCAACCAGGGATCGAACCCACAAATTGGGCATGTGCTCTGACTAGGAATCAAATCCACCGCCTTCTCTTGTAGAGAATGTTGCTCCAACCAAGCCACACTGGCCAGGGAGGAATTTGTATTTGTTGTTGTATTTCAAATCCCAATCCTTAGTTTCCTCTTTCCTTATCATCTTCATTTACCTCATCTTTGGTGACGCAGAAAGTAATGAATAAGCAAAAAGGCAAAGAAGAATTTGTGTATGTGTGAAGCAATTTGAGGTCGGAAAGCTGCACATCACAAAGTCCCCACAGTCAGACTGTGAGAGAGCAGCCAGGGGCGTAACACCAAGTGTGACAGTGACAGCGACAGCAAGGATGGCTGCATGCCCACTCCTTTATGAGGCAAGAAGCCAGGGCCAAAGGCCACTTAAATCCCTAAATTCTGGATTTCAGAGAGGAAGGGAAAAAGAGAGATAAAAACATCAATGATGACAGAGAATCATTGATCGGCTTCCTCCTGCACGCCCCACTCTGGGGATTGAGCCTGAAACCCAGGCATGTGCCCTGACCAGGAACTGAACCGTGACCTCCTGGTTCATAGGTCCACGCTCAACCACTGAGCCATGCCAGCTGGATATTATATTAACTGTATTTACAGTAGCATAATTAATTATACCCACTAGTCATTCCAAAATTTATTGAGTAATTATTATGTTCCAGGCACAGTGCTAAGATGAGATTTTAAAAAGCAATGACTATAGGCCTGGTCAGGTGGCTCAGTTGGTTGGAACATTATCCCATACACCAAAAGGTTGCAGGGCAATTCCAGGTCAGGGCACATACCTAGGTTGAGGTTCCATGTCCAGTCAGGGCACATACAGGAGGCAACCTATGGATGTTTCTATCTCACATTGATGTTTATCTCTCTCTCTCTTTCTCTCTCTCTCTCTCTTTTGCTCTCTCTCTCCACCCACTTCCTCTTGCTCTAAAAAAAATCAATGAAAACATATCTCTAGGTGAGATTTTTGAAAAAGCAATGACTATAAATAGCTAACATTCACTAAGCCTTTTATATATAGCATCTCATTTAATCCCCACAAAATTCTTGCAAAAGGAATGGAAATTGAGGCATGGAGAAGTGAAGTACAATGTCCCAAAGTCACTAGTGAAAGGCAGAGGCAGAATAAGAGCCTAGGCAGCCTGTTTCTATACCTGCGATCTTCACCACCACCCAGTCCTCCCTGCCAGACCTTGTTCGGCTGGAAGTCACATGTGGTGACACACAGGGACTAATAATACTAATTAATTCCAGCAACCATTTGTTGAATGTTCATTAATACTTGGAGCCCAGGGGCAAATTCTCACAAGTCCAAGAAGTACTTATCTTCATTACCATTTCAGAGGAGAAAAGAGTTTCAAAGAAGTAAATTAACTTGTCCACAGTTGCAGAGCTATAATAGTTAATGCAGTTCTGGTGCTTACTGCATATATACCAGGCACTGTTCTAAGCACTAATTTATCTAATCCCCAAACAGCACTATGAGGAAGGTTCCATTATTACCCATCATTCTTAGTTAAGAAACTGGTCCAGGATCCCACTCTAGTAAGTGGCAAACCCAGGACTCACACTGGCTTAAAGTCATTATCAAAACAAAATGCTGTCTCTGGGCTAAGAAGTAGCAGAGCAAAATTCAAACCCAGTCTAACTCTTGAGTGAGAGAGAACCCTCTATCTTCTTACCAACATGCTAAGCATGGCCCTCCGACCTGCTGTAGTATGGAGTGATGCTAGGGAGGATGGGAGTAAAGAGGTCTGGGGACCCTCCAGAAAGGAGCATTTAAGCTGCATTTTGAAGGTCAAAGTAAGTATTGGATGAAGGCAGGCACCATGCAATTTATCATTTTCTTTATTTTTTTGCAATTTATTATTTTAAAGGAAAGTATATGTATCCAATTGAGGACTTTACAAAGACTATGTAGTTTCAGATTGAATTATAAAATCTTTACTGTGTTTTAATTTTTCCAGGAGAAATATTCTTGATGAAGGGAAACAAGGTTTTGTTCACTTCAATTTGGCTATACATTAAAAAAATCATCAAGGAACAGAAATGGGCAGTTTTTGTAACGTTAAACTCAATTCTGACTTCCAATATTTACTTCCTCAATCTAAGTGCTGCAAGCAGGGTGATTTCCAAACCTTAGGAATCTCTGCAAGATTTTCTCTCCTTCAAATCTGAAACCCAGCATTTAGAAAACCATTAGGAGCCTGGAGATTCAAATCAAGAACTAGAAGGAACCAGTGTGCGCGTCGTTCCCCCGGGGCTAGAGACCGGCAGGCAACTTGTGGCTCAAACGCTGCAGAACCAGGGTTTTTTCCCCAGCAAATTGATTTATGACCCCAAGAAGGGCAGCTGCAGAACCGGTCAGACCATAAGTGCAATTCTCAAACATGCATCCAAGAAGAAGGTCCAGGATGAGATGGGAATGGTAAGGTGGGGTTAGTTCTGGGAGGGAACTGCCTGTCCTGGGTGAGACCCTTCAAATCTTAGTTCTTGCAGCAGCCAGGCCAATGGACTCAGCAGCCCAAAATGTGCGCGCTGGGGGAGCTGACTCCGCAGCAGGGCAGCGGGACAAGGTGCCTCCACGCCCCCTTGCGGACCTAAATGACGGCTGAGGAGGACTTGCCTACTTCAGGATAGGTACAGTCTTTCAAAAATGTTCTCAGTTTAACCCTCACACCACCTTTCAAGAGAGTCGCCGCGATCAGCTCCATTTTACAGACGAAATGCTGAGGCTCGGGGAAGTGAAGCAAGACTTGCCGGCAAAAAAAGAAAACCTTAAATGAAGACGATCATTGGACTGGTTCCTGAAGAAATGGGGACTGGGGCCACTGGGGGGCCCCACACTGACCCCTCTGGCTCTCTGGGCGGATTGGGAACCAGCTGTCAACCGGGAGGCCTGGCAGCGCCCAGGTGGCTGGGAAGAGGGAGCGCGCGCAGTGGGCAACAGCGCGTCTGAGGGCGC